CGTATACGTGTCATCTCTTTGAAGGCCGCCGGAGTAGTCATTTATTTACCAATTTAATTTTTAATAAATCTGTGTTTTTTACAGGCTGTGATAAAAGTAATACATGTTGGTGGTGAAGATGGTGACAAGATGTTTTCGCCAATATCATTGTCAGATGGTCAGTTTTTCTTAAATGATAGTTTATTGTGTCTTTTCCGGTTTAAGATTCGAACTCTTCCATAATCTTAAAATTTTCAGCAAAACCGAGTAGCAGTGTGGTCCACGAGGACGCCGTTCTCGATGAATGTGGAATTATTGAAAGTAACGCTGCAACAAAAGGTAAAAATGTTTAAAAACGAAACCAAACAATGGAGATTTTAATGAAGGCAGAAAAAACCAGCAGTATGTAAGAATCAGAAATAGATATGTTTTGAGATTTGGAGGTTTTTTTGGTCCATTTTTTTGCAAATTTGTTGAAAAGTTCTGTACAGAATTGTGTATAGTGAATCTTAAAATAGAAAGGTATATTGAAATAAGAAGGAGAATCGAAGAGGGAGGTGCGAAATAAGTATTAAAAAATTAGTAAAATCAGTGGGAATAGTTTAATAAAATTATTATAATAAAATTATTAGAAGCTGTAGCAAGTTCGAGTAACGATGAGGAGAGCAGTGATGCTTGGTCCAGCAGACACAAGGCTGGTAAAAATATATCATCGAAAGGAGGGAATTATCAGAAAGGAAGACAATTTTTGGGAAAACGAAACAATCGAATGCGAGAAGAAACCAAACTACAAAGAAAGCCAGCGAAAGGTGTTTTTTTGTAGAATTCAAACTTTTCATTTCAGCGCACAATTCCTGGATCTGTCCTACGTCCCTGGACTCATATTTATCCCGTCCGGCAATTTTCTACTTCTGTATTTTTCCATTTTTATGCGTTTTGTGCTGTGTAACAGCAGTACAAAACGCATATTGTCACGGGGTTGTCTGTTTGTGTGTCCGCAGCAACTTGTCCGCAACTTTCAACCCGGGAACCACGAATGCTAGGAAACTGAAAATTTAGGGGAACGTTCCCCACCCACGTGTGACCCCGCAAATTTAAATTCATCTCCCCCGTACCTGCGGGTAACGCGTACGGCCCCGCGAAAGTTTTTTACGGGTAACTTAATATCTCAGGAACCACGGAGTCTAGGAGACTGAAATTTTGGGGTATTGACCCCTTGTCCACGCTCAACCTTGCCCATTCAAATTCGGCGTTCTCGCGCTCTCGGGCACCACCTACGGCCTTGTGAAAATTTCGGTGGATAAACTATTAACTCAGGAATCACGGAAAGATGTTCACCTTTCAGGTTCCGAATTCAGCTTTCATGCGCTGGTGCGTGAAATTTTTAACTGTTTTCCAATGTTTGAACTATTTTTGCTATTTAGCTTTCATACGCTGGTGCGTGAAATTTTTAACTGTTTTCCAATGTTTGAACTATTTTTGCATAGACAAGGTACAAGAGTGCGTGAAATTTTTAACTGTTTTCCAATGTTTGAACTATTTTTGCATAGACTAAAGAACAAAGCACTGGTGTGTGAAATTTTTAACTATTTTCCAATGTTTGAACTATTTTTGCATAGACTAAAGTACAAAGCATGAAAATCATTAATAGGCAATCGTTCGATGGGCCGAATTGCACAAAACGCATTATCGCACCGGCTAGTCTGGAATCATTGATAGGCAATCATTCGATGGGCTGGATTGCACAAAACACATGATCGCACCGTCTAGTCTGGTGCGCGCTGCTGTTTATTCTTAATGGGATTATTTAAAAACCAGATTATTTCAGAGGTTTCGTGTTCCGTAGACAATGTTGAGGACTTGCATCCATCTTGGATTGCTAAAAAGCGCGAAAAAGAAGCTCTGAAAAGAATGCTGATGTCGGCGAAACCGAACAGAATAGTTTTTGAAGACGAATAATCCGCGTTGCTATTGATTTGCGCGGGTACGAATTTTGCTGATCGAATGGAATTTTAGTAGCTTTGGCAGGGATTCATGAATAGCTATTCATTTTTTCTGTGACGTGACGAACACGCCAGCAGAAGTTGTTTTAATATGTATGTATATGTGTCCTGCTAATCTTTGTTTTTGTTGTTTACTTGTTTTTAAAAGCAAATAAAGTAAAAAATAAAAATGGAAGGCTGTCGGTTGTGGCGCAGTAACGATTGTAACGATCTCATGCCAGAGTTTGGGAGTTCGCCTCCACTAAAGGTTACCGGTTGTAGAGTAGTGGTTGGTGACGATCCCGTGCCAGAGACTGGAGGTTCGCCTCTACTAGTGGCACAGTAATTCGCTGTACGATTCGTTCATTGTTTTGATGGTAAATTGGTACTGGCGCATGTTTGGGCATCATCCGTTACCGCTTACTTTTGGCTAATCTTCGGAGGAAATGGACATTGGCAGTATTGCCATCAGGTGATTAAATTGTAGGTATGTGCCGCCACTCGGACTACTTTTGACTGAAATGAATGTGTAGAGAGCTTTGACTTTTTTGTCTGAAATGAAAGTTTCGACGAATATTTGAACTGTAGGAGTGTGTGCTGGGAATTTTTACAGGCTGATTTTGGGGAGTTTAGCAAATTTGAAAACTAGGGCATTATGTGTTTTTTAGCACTATAGCATTGTGTAGAAATTCATCACGCAACATTCGCTAGATTCTTGCGCTATATGTATTTTTGCATCATTGATGAAGTGCGAAATTTGCTTCGGTACTTTCTTCAGCTGCACTTCGTTAGCGTAGTTGGCAACTTTTCCAGTTGTTGTGACCTAATTGTTATACTAATACATGCTGTTGTTAGTAGATAAAATTTGCATACGGAAAAATATATTTTGACTATTTGCCACTTTATCATATCGCAACTTAGCTTATTTAGCAAATTCACAAGTTTTCTGCATCGTAAATGCATCACTAGCGGCCCAGCATGTTGGTGCTCTTGACGTTTGTTTTTCTGCTTCACTGATTCGAATAGTAATTTTAGATGTATGTGATTCTTTAGTCTGCATTCCTTCTCGGATCTTGCAAATTGCATAAATTTCTATAAGGTATTACTGAAGTGTGGGAATGGCTGATTTATTTTCGGAAGTGGAAGGTTTTGGTTTTTATATCTGCAATAGGGAGTGTTCCAAAAATTAGCCTAAGAAAGCTTCCGGAAGCCTCTCTTCTCGGGAGGAGATGTACCAAAGCCTTATTTACAGCTGAGAGAGAAAAGATGGATAACCAAAAAGCTTGCCAAAAAAGTATTGCGCAGTTTTTGGAAATTTCATAAGTCTTGTAAGGTTACATTAAAAATTCACTTTAAAAGTGGGAAATTTAATTTACTCTGGTGATTGCTTAATTTGCTCTGGTGATTGCTCAGATGCGCTGCAACAATTAAACCAAACAGAATTTAGGCGTGAACTGGTAACACGCAGAATGCATGCCTTTTGCTAATTGCGTTTTTCCTGTACGATGTTATTTGAGTGTTTAGCCGATGAAATCTTCAATATGCTTGCCGCGCGTTCTCAGTTCGTAGCCTTTCGTTAAATTCGTTTCACTGAAAAAAAGTCCGATTAATCTGCTAGCACCATACCACGCAACTCCAGTTAATCTGCTGAGACCATACGAATTCAAGCCTTGATCGGTGCTGACTGTTAATTTGCCTGCAGTTGCTCCCATTCAAGTTTCATCTTTCCCGCTAAAACAATGCTCAAATAAATCTACATCCGTTGATGAGTACCACAATCGAGCATGGGATGAATAGGGCTCGAAAGGTGATAGTTCATGTACAGTTTGTACCAGCTGCACAGTGCGACAACAAAAGAAATTTCATTATTTTCAGGCGAAAATCATTACAGCCCTTGCAAAAAAAGTAGCTAGATGTATGACAGCATGAATCATTAGTGCCTGTATGACTAAATTCTGTCTGAACGAACTACCGCTGTACATTTTAAGCTTACAGCTATTTCTGGATGAAAAATTGTTTTTCTCTTATTATGCGTTATTTTTGTCTCGATGGTTAATTGGTACTTGCCATATGCCCGCCATCAGCTTGCTTCTAAGCAATCCTCGAAAAAGAGGAGCCATTGCGACAGCTTTTTCAGTGGGTGATTGCTGTTAGCATTTGTTTGGCTGTTTCCATCGAGTGCCTTCATTTCTCAAAGAGAACGAATACGAAGGTGGCTTTGACTTTCTGATGTGTTGTTTTGCTCAAAATACGTATAGTCTACTTTAACTTGTCTTTGTGTTTTTCATTTTTGCAAAAAAATTCAAAAGAATTATGGTGGGAAAAAATTATGATTTACTGCATCATTGAAAGATATTCGTGTTGTGTACATCATTAGTTGCGTGGTACAGAAACAAATTAGCGCTAGTTTCATGCAAAAATTCTAGGATATGACTCTGTCAGTGAGGACCAATCCTTTTACGATTCGTTTCGATGATAAGAAGCAGTGGTACATTCCTGGGAGTCATACCCGTCATCAGCTCATTTAGCAATTCTCGAAAAAGGAGCCATCGACAGCTTGCCAGTACCTGATTGCTTTTGCCATTTGCTACCGCTCGGACGACTTCCAGTTGCTTTCATCTCTCGCAGAGGGTGAACGCGCGGGGGATTTTAGCTTTAATCTTTTGACGTCATTTCTTGTTTCCAAGGTATTTCTCTACATTCATTTCAGCATTTTCCTTTCATTTTTTGTCATTTTTTTTCCAGTACATCTTGTTCATGTGAGCTGAATAATTAATTAACTGATCTATTTCTGATATTCAAAAATAAGAATTAGACTGACTTGTCCCTGCAGAAGCGCTGCAAACCTTGGTGCTAGTGGCTTCCTAAATTCGTTTCCAATTTTCCTTATTCAACTAATAACGCATCCTTTGTGTGATAGAGAGGAGCAATAAAAATGTAACATGGGCAAAAAGTCGGAATTACCACAAGTGAGGTTAGACTCAATAAAAAAGCTTGCTGAAATGCTGAATTTTGCTGAGGAGTGAGGCACTTCACGCACTGATGAACAAATCCTGGAGCAGTCTGTGTTTCATCCTTTAGCCATAAATGTAAAAAAAGTTATACATGAAGTGTTACTCCAAGTATTAGACTGCTAAAATTTGAAAAATGCCTTTTCTAGTTAAATTTTGATAGTATTAGTTAATTTTTTTTTCGCTCAGTTTTGCTGTGTCCAGCAACTACTAATGAAAAGACATTAGTAAGTGAATGCACTGAAGTTCTTTAGGAATAAATCTTTTCCTTAATGAAATCATGGATGCAGAAAAATAGTCCCGTGTCGCCTACATTTTGTTATTGCGTGCTAAGATTATGGTTTTCCCTCTTCGTAAGGCCTACAGCTTTTACTGCGGCTAACGACATATTTCTGGGGCCGAGTGGGCAGGAGAAAAGTACAGAGGTCGCTTGCATATAATGCGTAAATCAATTCGTAATGTTGTTTGTTGGTTGAACTTTTTTCGGAAGCAGTTTCACGCAAATGGGCAATGAGGAGAAGTGACAGGGGCCGCCCAGAGTACGAATTTGGGTGGGGAAGAGGGAAGTGGAAAGGAGGGAGGGAAGCATGGAAAAACTTCCTGCTACTTGTACTGACCTAAATCTGTAGTTCGTTTCCTTCACTGATAGTGCACTTCATAAACCCGGCCTCTTGCTTGATAAAATGGACAATTTTACAGCAGCGCAGTCTCCCGTCTCTCGCCCGAAGACAGACCGGAGGGGTAGTGCTTTTCACTCAATCATCAGGTCCGAGCAGGTGTTCTTCCTTGTTTAGAGAGCAAATGTTAAATTTTCATTGCCTATTCGATGAAAAAATTTGTTGGTAAAAGCTTTAAATACCAAACTACACATAATTTACAGAAGTGACACCATTCAGGCTGAGTTGCTGATGCTCAGCATGCACTAGTGACATCTCGAAACGGCTAAATTCTCGTCCACTGCTTTTGTCGCTAAGTTCATAATCCTTTGAAAAGATGAAACGAACGTCAGAATCGCCAGCAGACTGACCAGCAAACGATTGCCAGCAAACTAACCACCAGTTAAAGAAGCTGAAAAATTTACCAGCTGCATAGATGACCAATAAGGCTTATGAATTACTATTGATCAAAATGTCATATTAAAATGTTATCAAGCTACTGCTAGATATAAAGTAGGCAGTTTGATGATACTCCAAAATTTAATACTGCAAGCGGTGAAAACACGTGGTTAAGCGGAGAGAAAAATATGAACTGAAAAGATATTCGTAAAATTTCAGCTTCCTAGCTTCTCTGGTTGCTAAGTTGAAAGTGGGCGACAAAATCGGTACACATAAACATATACTCATACTTACATAGATACATGCACACATAAATGCACAAACAAATGCACATACGTTCAAACATTGAAAGGATTGCCTGCTAGCGGTTACTACTGATAATACATTATCACGAGGACTAATTCGGAACCCCCATCTGTGATAGAGCACAAAATAGAGAGTTAGCTTGTTGCAAGAAAAATGATGGCTTAAAAATTCGTATTAATAGAAGTACTTCCTGAAAAGCTATTTCCAGAAACAGTTTTTGCTTGGTTCTTACCTTGCCCCCGCCATCGATGGCAAAATTATATTCTAGCAGTATCAAGTAATACAGCACAGAAATGATAACACAGCAAGCTACATTACAAGCAGTAAGTTCAAAAAGATACTTCTCAGTACTTTTATTTGCGAAGTGCGAAAACTTATTAACTAATCTTTGGAGAACTTGCGCTCTCCCTTCCTTTAGCAGGCACCCTGAGGTACCATAATTTTTAAATAACAGGAAGACCAAGATGCCGGAAATAAGTACTCCATGTACCGATGAATAAATCGTAAAGCATAATGTGTTTCGATGCTTAGCTGTAAATATTCTAGCTGGGAGCAGTAACTTCATATCTTGTTGTTCGTCAATCTGTAAATCTCAGCCGTTCTTA